AGATTTAATCTAGGGTTTTGAGACAGAAGTTGATTTGTGATTTTAATCTTAGGAGCCTCGTCAAACTCTCTCTTGTCATGATCAGCATCTAAGGATCATCTTAATAAGAAGAGTTGCCCTTTGTGTTTAATATCATCATTGCTTCTTCATCGATCTTCACTTATACCTTTCCCAGAACAGTTTACTTAAAAAGGATGTAAGATCTTTTTAATTTGTGCTTAAATAATTTGGTTGGTTTGTTCATTATCTTGTTTTTACGCCATACTCAAGCCAGTGATAACTAAAGGTTGGAACTAGCTAGGGCTAGGTATTTTACTCATTTGTGAGGAGTAAGGTTAGACGATTAGTTTCGGGTAGATTCAGGGTGTGGTCTTTGTAAGCCTACTGAATCGAGTTGTGATTCAGGTGAACTCTAGTCATAGCGAGGAAGACCCTTCGTGAGAAGAAAGAGCAGATGTAGGATTTCTATTTGAACCACTATAAAAATCTTTTTTTTTTGGTCAATGAAATAAATTTTATTCATTACCAAATTGAGAAATATGAGTACATCAAGAAATACTAGTTCCTAACCTGGGAGAACAACTCCGGAAAAAAGACAATTACATTTTCACAATTCTGTCTTTTATGTGAGCAGGGATATCATCATTTAGGACTTTTGATAGAATCAGAATCTTCACTCTTCGAAACACAGAAACAAGGTCTTGAGATTCTTGCCGAAAAATTCTTTGATTTCTTTCCTTCCAAATGGCATAAACTGACACAGTTAGTGCCACCCTTTTAATTCTTTTCATAAAACCCTTTCCCTTCAATCTTGTACTATACCATTCAATAATCCTATCCCAATTGCAAGATTTCCATTTGAAGTTCATCCACTCCATAACTCTGTTCCAGAGATCAGCTGAGAATGCACATTCAAAAAATAGATGCTTACAGGTTTCCTGTTGCTGAAATGTACAGAGAACACAAGCATTTTGCTGATGATTCATGTCAAGGATATTCATGTGACATAATCTATCTCTTGTTAACAGTCTAGAATGAGTAGCAAGCCAAGTGATGAGAGAATGCTTAGGGAATGACCAATCGTCCCAAATTGTTTTAGACCAAGTTACCTGTGCATTCTGATTAATAAGATCACTGTAGATAGTAGATAACTGGACCTTATCTCCAGAGCAGCTCCTGGCAATGATATTTTGAACATTAGAGGAACTTCCAAATTTGAGTATCACCTTATCTCTCATTTTAAGGATTTGTTTCCACATCCAAGAATCATTTGTTTTGGATTGAACTTGCCATATGTCAGATTGTCTTAGATAATTGCCATGCACCCACTTTATCCATAACAAGTCTTTCTTTAAGTGAATCATCCAAATAAGCTTCATAGAAGCTGCAGTATTCCAGTCTGTAGCAGAGAAAACCCCCAGACCTCCATGTTCTTTACTTTGACAAACTGTCTTCCAGGAAATCAAATGAATTTTGTGGTTCCAAAGGAATTCAGAACAAAGACTGTCAATTTTCTTCAACACCTTAATTGGTAGAATATAATTGCTAGTCCAAAAATTTTGAATTCCTAATATGACAGATTTAATAAGCTGCAATCTGCCTGCGTAGGATAATGTTTTCTTTTTTAATCACTATAAAAATCTTGTGTGTTCTCTGATTTGTATTTTTAACATTTGGTTATTATTTCCACTGCGTATTCTGTGTTTTAGTGAAAATCTATAGCGAACCTATTTACACCCCTCCCCTTGGCTTGCATCTCAGTTCCATCACTGATGAGGTTTACCCTTTGTGATGTATCCATAATAAAGTAGTCTTGTAAGGGTTGGGTGGTTTGTTTGTGTGACTGCTGCTGCTGTTGTTTGTTGTATTAGATGATGATTGTGAGCTTAAGTATCTGGCATCTTATTAAACTGGTAGTATCTTTACTCTTTATTGTTAAATGCTAAAAGATGCGAGTGAGTTATACTGGTTTGAACCTGAAGCGGAGATGAAGGAAATGACACTTGAACCAAGAACAGGCTTAGGGGAATTATATAGTGCTATGCCAAATAACGTAATTGTACCATAATTTGGGTACTACTTTTTATATTTTAGGGTTATTTGTATATTTACTGTGAAATGGTGAATTTTAAGACTTGAGGAGAGGTAGATGAAAATTCTTCGATTTTTTGGGAGGTTTTTAAGGTATTGGTCCCTCAAAAGATATGAAAGTTAGAATAATCTGTCAAATTGTTCAAGTTGCGCTAAATATGTTCACTGTTTTATGTTTAAATCTAATGTGGATTGGATTAATTGTCAATTAAAGTTTATCATATATATTTGACTCAACCGCGTGCTCACATGCGGGGGTTTCTGAGGTGATTTATAGTGCAAAACAAAACAACTAATAAACCATAAACTCATAGCAATATACAACAAGAAACTTTAATATGTCAAAGGATATGGACACTAAAGAAAACTTTATAAAGAAAAGTTCTAATATTGATAAAGTAAAAAATAAAAAACCAAAATAACATTAACTTAATAACATAAATAGTATTATACTTCTCTATCAGAGTTTTGAAACTTTCAATGTTAATTTTTTTTTTAATTTTACATTTCTACCTCAGGCTTACAATCATTGGTCCTGTTTTTGGAAACAGTATAAGATTCTCTCTGTTCATTTCTGTCTCAGGCTTAATACTGCATTTTGAAACTTTCAACATAAGAATTTTCTCTATACATTTCCCTCCCACGCTTATCATATCGTCAATAGATCTTGAATTTTGAAACATTCAATATCAAGAATTCTTGCTGTGCATTTTTTCTGTCAAGCTTAACACTACTTTAAATCTTGAATTTAAGGGTCATTGAAGAGCTTGATACGAGTTGGATCACATATTCAGATATGATATGAGAACTTTTGCATAATAATATCACGTGAAAAAATTCAACTGCCACTAATGTTTTAGCAATTCCAATATGAATGTAAACCCAAAAATTTAAAATTCAAAAGAATATTAGTTGCCTCCTCTATTTCAGTCAGCCTAACTCAATAAATCCTGTTTTTTGGGCGGAACAAAGGTTTAAAAGGCAAAGTAACATTTAACCTCTAATTCATTTTCAACACTTCACCTCAAATACGAGTATTCACTTTCCAATCCTCCAAAATTACCAATTTCATGTCTTCGATCTTGGTTTTCATATAGTGATGACAAGTTTAAAAGGTCCTCGTTTCATTCTAAATACTTGAGAGATGGTACAGCAACAAGCGGCTAGTCGTAATCGTTTTGTGTTCTTAAAATAATTTTGTAATGGATGATTTCCACATTAGTACCTTAAATCTTTAATATGTTGAAATCATTCCCTTGTTAACTGCTATTTTTAATGGGCAGGGTTGATTTAAAACAACTTATAAGTTAGAGGGTCTAATAGAAATTAATTGCGATGATTTTAGAGGCTAGTTATTTTCTTCCCCTTCTTTGTGAACTAGGACTCCATGCATATAATCAGGACATGTGACGCCACTTTATACCAAGCAATGACTATATTCATACAACATATGTACAAGTAAGGTAACTGAGTTTTCATATCTAGAAAGATGTCAACATAGAAACATCAAACCACCAAGTAGAAAAGGACTTGATGAACCCACCAACTAACATAAATTTTCCATATTATTTAATTTAGCATAACATTATTCCATAAATTCTAAAACAGAACCAACAATATCTACAAAAAATAAAAAACTAATTAATTAACCGTAAACCAATCTTCGGTTCTTAAACCATAGGGTGAGCATGATCAGCAGCAAGAACATGCCCATAATTGCCTTTGGGGTCTTCATCTTCAAGATAGTCGGCTCTGGCATTATCGGTTAGCATCTGGCACACGAGCCAGAACAAGGCTGCATCGAGAGCTAGGAAGGCGGCGCCACCAAAGAGGCCGGTCTTGGCCTGTGCTAGCACTTCGTGTCGAGGTTCTGGTGGATGTTACGGGTGCGGTGGAGAGTTTCGGTTGTTGTTACCCATATCATCATTGCCTCAGCTAGCACCGTCACAATTCTGGTTTCATATACTCAAATGAAAATAGCATCAATGACTGTATGAGAAAATGAGAAAGTATCTAGTAGTTCCAGTCTATTGCAAATATTAATAACACGCGAGAAAGATGTCAAAGTTTGTCCCGTTGGATCAAGGATCATAGTTGAGGGGAAAAGCTTCTAGTTGACAAGATCTAATGCTTACATAAATTGACAGTTCCATCTTAATATCGTAAAAAAGAAGTAACTTGTCAGAGACAGTGGCGGTTGTCTTTATACAAGGATAATTACTGCTACATTCATGTGGTGATGATGTAGGAATGCTAAGATGAACATTGAAATTCACAGGAAACATAAATGTAATAATTGTATATATAGCTCCAACCTAGTATCATATACAAGGTAGACTGTCAGCTGTGGCAATTGTCTTTTTGTACGATTACTAAGCAAAGTTGAAAATAAATAGAAAGAACAAATTTATGCATGGTTGTCGTGATTTTCGCAATTTTTCATGATGTGGTAGTATTGTTATTTTTGACAAGTAGAGCTGCAAATGGGCAAAAAAATCGTCGACTAGTAGTGAATTGCAAAAAGATCGTGAATATGAGGAAGATAACTCTCTGAAGAAACACCAGATACATGAGATTTTTCTGTGTGGTTATCATGATTTTGGCCATTTGTATCATATAGCATTGTTGTCGTTGAGCAACTCGAACTGCAAATGGGCCAAAAATTTCAAGATTCACGAACTAAATATCAAGAAGATAACCCCCTTGAATATTGAAGATAACCAAGCTATTAATGCATTAACAATATCTGCAAACATATAATGATTATATGGCAACGCATAAGCAAAAGGTAAAGATTATTTACTACGAGAATGATATGACTATTCACAACAAAATTATTTTCTTATTTAATAAGATGGAGATAACAAAAAAAAAAAAAAACTTACCCCGCAATAGCGAAGAAAATAGCTAGCGCAGTGTTGCGGAATAACTCTCGTTTGGGAACAGACTGGCCTTTATATGGGAAAAATACAGAAACCACCCCAAGAAAAGCTGATATTAGAAGTGAAACAACTGATAAACTTCCAAGTGCAACTGTTGGATCATTTGGATATTTGCAGATTATAACACCTTTCCCTTCAATTGCAGTTCCCTCTGCAGGCTGTAACAACATAACAATAATAGTAAGGGAAGATATTCATACTTTGGGATTACCAGAATATTCAAATTCCAGTTATATAAATAACTGATAAAAAGGTCATAGAAATACATGGAATTAAAATTAAGGATCACAATCCAAGCATGATGGTTTAGGCAGTTACCGTATTGGTAGGTTATTATTTATCTTTTTTTGCCCTTTTGGCATTAAAAGGTATATTTAAACCAAAATGCTCAATATGTACAAGCTCTCTTCTTACTTAAGCGTAGGTCAAATTTTTTTAATGATAAATTTCACAAAACCACCTGAACTTTAAAAATCATACAAAATCTCCCCTTTGAACATTAGGAATTTCTTATAAACCGCGTTAACAGGTAAAGTAAAAGTCTAAACTATCATTTTTAATTTTATCTGCCTTTACCTGAAGAAGGGTAACATATAAGTTATATTAATTACACAGGGGAGACTTAAAGTAATTTCCGTGGTACTTAAGAGAGGTAAGTTCGCTGGGTTTGCTTCGATCATCCACAAAACATATCAGAAACATCTTGCAGATATTATTTTCTCCACCAATTTTTTTTAATCTTAGCAAAAAATATAACTGGAGGAGAACATAAAAAAAATTCTAAAAAGAACTGGTCCCACAATACTATGCATCGTGAGAACAAAAAGAAGAAGAAGAAGAAGAACATAGCATTTATCCCAAATGTTTGGGGTAGGCTATATGAATTCCTATTCTTCCCTTCCGTCCGATTTTTGACCATCTCCTCCGTTAAGTTAATCATAATAATACTCTTCCTAATTGCTTTTAACTAAGTTCTCTGACATCCACTTCTAGATCTCTTTGCCTCCATTAACTATAATATTATCACTTTTCTTAATCGATGTGTTATAAGAAGAATAAAATAATGATGCATTGATGAAATAATGGGACATAATATATATAACTTATAAAGAAGTTATGAAGTTCATAATATACAATTAATAATCTTTGAAAGCACGAAAATCAAACTTCTAGTTTGATTCCAAGTTACAACCTTGAACTTTTTA